AAATTTAGTGTTGGTGACATTGGCCATTGGGTTAAAAGTGTTAAATAATCAAATTATTTTTAACACAATTAAGTAAAAACATTTTTTCGTATTAATTTTAAACTTTTAGAGTCAAATACAATATTGTTTGTTAACTTGACATTAATTTATAGCTTGGCATGCTTAAATCAACTAATTTAGATTATTATTTTTAAATTTAATTTCTCATCTTTGATTATAATAACGTGGAAGTATTATAAGTACCTATTTCCGTAATGTGACCAATAATATGATTACCATTTTACTATAAAGTTAAAAGCTTATATAACTTTGTGGTACCTAATAAAATCATATTTTTATTCCCCCAAATTCATTTACAGCAAAATAATTAAACGTAAGTAATACAACTCTTAGCTTTTGATATAAATTACATAAATTATATATCATAATAATTTTAAAAAAAAATGCGTTTATTTAAATTAATATATTATTATCTCAAAYGAAATATTTGTACGTAAATTATAAATTTATAACATAATAAATATTTATTAAATTYAGTCATCCATCTCTCCACTCCCTTTTGCAATCAAATTATTGTAACAATAAATTAAGTAATAACAACAATACTTAAAACATAATACGTAATCAATGATAATAAACGAATTAACAACTTGTGTTACGTAAAAAATTGATAACTATGTCCTATATAGTTAAAATAATTTGAAAAGAAAACATATTTCAACTATCCAATTATTTCGAATATAAAAATTACAAATGTTCTCCAAAGACTCTTGTGAAATATTTACGACATAAATAAATACTTTTTTCCAACTAAATTAGTTTAAAATTAATAAACAACAGTGAGACTGTGAAACACTTGAAATACAGTGGTCGTATTTTAATTGTTGTTTCTTGTATATATATTATTTTTTATTTCTACAAATTTGTCCCTGACCTGAATATTCTGTTGTATTATATTATTGTATGGATCGTTCGTACACGTTTATTGTGATCTATGATTTYAGTGAGCGTGCTACTCATCGGATTACTCACTATACACAAAACCGATTTAGATAATTTTTTTTCTCGAATGTAAACGATATTCTTTCTCCGCTAATCGAAAGATGAACGAGTACCTACAAATAAACCACCACATCACATGCACCGTATAATTATACTAAAACAAATAATAATAATTATGTTATGCACAGAAATAAGAACGTCCTCAGCTGATGAAAATAATAATGTTGTAACGATACTACAAGAGTACCGACGTAAGCCCACTCKGATCGGTGTCACGACGATGCTATTTCACGACAATTCACAAATTTTATGTTACATTTTAAACGCGAAAATTAGACCACAAAACATTTGCTTTTCTTCAGAGTCAATCTCCGTCGGTTGTCGGTACATATAAACAACGATGCCGTGCCAAAATCTAATATAACGAATGAACCTATATACGCCTTACCTTTGATAAATGTCTGATATACAAACAATAAAGCACTGCATCTACTTAACAAAATTAAAATAAAACAGAAGACTTTATCTGCTCAGAGCCGTAATTGGAAATACTCAAAATTCTCTCTCAAGATCAAACATTTAAATTTATAATCACCTGCTTAAACTCGTATAGATGTATGAAAATTAAACTTTGGGTTCCTCCAAAATACTGACATGTAAAATTCAAGTGTTTCAATAACAAATTATGATTAGACTCATAATTAATGATTCTCTATACGTTTCAATCATACCCTACTGAATCTTCCTGTCTGATCCTTATGTTCCAAAAGTTTATAGATTTTCTAAATTACAGTAAAACAAACATTGATGCTACCTTCAAAATCATACTAACAATTAATTTATTATCTATCTCTATTTCCGAAAATCCTAACAGCTGGATAAATCTGAAATGACCTATTTAATTATCCAAACACATAATATATCATAACTCATTTTTATGATCATACTACATGTTTTGTTTGGATGATTTGTGAAATTTTCAAAATTAAAAAAAAAACGTTATGAATGCAATAAATACCAAACGTTGTGTTTCAGATGCCAAAGATTTGTACGAACTTTTGTTGCAAAGGGATCTAATAGACTCCATGGGAAACTCTTTAATTGATCCCAACCAACATCGCATGGTCCGCAAAAATCAGAGGTCTCCATCGCTGAGGTTAAGGTTCGGACGCCGAAGCGATCCGGCGCTCTACCAGGTAGAAATTATATCATTATATAATTATGACTAWGTACTATTATAGATAACAACTGTGGACAATTAGGTCATGTTAATTACTTTCTAAYKTATTTTCTTATCTTGACGGTTTTAGCATAATATTATATGATTATGATTRTCGAGAGTCAATTTACAGCTGGTAATATGGGTACGCAGGAATATTATAATGGACAGGGTTTCAGTTTTAATATTGCAGTAGGCGTAAATATTAGATTTTATAATTCATCGTACACCTAATCAAACAGTTAATATTACCATATTATCCTGTATTTTATTTTAAATGATTATGTTAATTATGTATGTATTGTAATGTATCGATTAGTATATTCATTTTTGTACACCACTCAAACAGAAACAACAATCTGTAACCAATGTAGTTAGAAGTTGATGTGCACATTAACCAATAAAAACCTAACTGTGAAAAAAATGAGCCAATTCCGAGACCCAAAAAATAGTTTATTTAAATCAAACTATTCAAATATTTTAAAACTACATTTGCGGACAAGTCTACTCTTTCTTTAGTCGATAACGTATTAATACACAAACAAATCCATATGCGTTAATGAACAAATCTCTTTTAATTGTATTGCCTATCACTTGGCTAGTTTCTGAATTTTAACGGTCTATCTCATAGCATAATATTTAATTTATGTATACTTTTTAATGGAACAAAAAAATACTATATACTTGAACAGTTTATAATGATAAATGTACGATGATCATTCATTTATTTTAAATTATCAATATTTTTAACCCATATATTATGTATATTATATTCCAGTTAAAAGCTTTAAGAACAATATATTAAAACATCACATAATAAGTTCAAMATTTTATCGTAAGACAAAAAACYTAATTTCAATTAAGTATCATAGTATGATATTTTAATGAAAGTTACGCATTAAGAACTAAAGTTTTGTTTGTTAATGGTTATTTAAACATACATAAATRTGTGCATAAAAATTTGTTATTTTAGACAATCCATAATCAAAAGTTGTTTACAAAATGTCCCTCAGCTTTTATAAAAGAATACATATTTATAGATATTTTACTGATGGTGTAACCTTAAGTTTAAACAATAGCTATTATTCTACCAAAGTATACCATGTACAATGTACATTTTTAGATTAGGTTTCACCACTAGTGTTTCTTCAATTGATTATTTTCCGTTTTAATAAATTGAATGTTTAGTGTCTTAAATTATATAGTTMTATTTAAGTGCTCTATTTAACATTCTCGATGATAAATAAAATTAAAGAAGATGATGATAAAAACAATTATAACAATATAAAAATAACAATACTGTTACTTAATGTTAGTAAATACAAACAATGGTATAATATTGTTTCCAATTCTATTAAAAGTAAATGGYCGTATTAGATTTTAAAGTTGCCTAATTTCTTCTGAATGGACGTTATGTAGATTTAACAATAGTACATTACCTCACAACTACCAGAGAAAGGTATTTTTTTATCGGTTGCTCTTWTTATGTTTATATACAGTGAAACCTCCTTTAAMGGAACTTCTTAATAGTGGACACTTCCAAAAATTGATGGAATTGAACGGAGAACTGTTTACTCCCTGTATTTCTTCTCTTAATAGCGGACGCCTCCAAATAGTGGACATTTAAGCGACCAAGAGTGCCTGGTATTTAGAGGTTTCACTGCAATAAAACATCAATGACGAATAAATAATGAATTTAAATCATCTTTGTTAATTTTTCAATTTATCGAGTTTTATGGATTTTGTTAAATTTAATATATGTACTGTAACATTTCAAACGTGATTTTTATTCTGAATTAAATTTTGTGTTAGACTCTATACTGCCTTTACTTTCTTTACCATTGTTAATTATTACTTTTTCATAATACATTATGTATCAAATGCATATATTTGGTATTTAAAGCATTAGTGATAAAAACTGTAATGTTATTATTACGACTAATGATTTTCATTATATTACCTATATAATAAATTATCTATGTCTAAGTACAGCAGTTAAATATTTTAAGTAATAAACGTGTAATACACGTGAAGTGACATAATTGTTTTATAAAAATGTAAAATATTGTTTAATTTTATCAGGTATTGTATTATTCACCACATTAACCTTTCTCGTTCGATACGCACAGTTTTCCCGATTTATTCCTTAGTAGCTCTGTTAATTTTTAATTTGTCACCCGTTATAGGGAGTAAGTAAAACGGTTCTTGATGTAGTTTTAACAAATAATATTCAAATACGGGTCATTTTTATCACATTTTCATCAATATCAAACAATGAACAGTATCGTTGAAATAATTATATTTTTGAATAAATCGTAAAAATTACTATCATCATAGTAATGAAATTTTAAAATAACGTACCTTAGAGGAAAATTGATTATTTTAAACATGAATTTATAAATTGTAACAAAACTGTTAAAAAGAAATTACAATATGAAAACAAACTTAAATCGCAATCAAAATTATAACTTCGTAAATTCACTTCGAATTTGATTCAAAATATAGTTCTACAGTTAATGATGCATGCGTACGAGCTGTTATGAGAACGAAAACAAACAACGTAACAAAACTGATCAATAAAAATAATTAAAAGCATGGCTAGTGTAAAATTTGAATGAAAACAACACTTACATAGCTACAAGCAAATTAAAAGATAAGTACCAATATTCAGGGTGTTACAAAAAGTTAATATTTATTGGAATTTCAAAAAACTTTTTTGTGAAAACTATAAATGCAAAAACAATCATTATTTGGTAGGTATTGTACTTATTCGTTGTATTATGGAGAGATTTTCAACGTTTAACCCTAAAAAATATCAAACCGTTATTCCAGTTTATGACGTACCCTCCGTATAATATCGAGATTATCAGTTCAAAAAGTGTTAACCATTCTTTTGTTTTCAATTATTCTTCCACATTTTGAGGCATTAGT